ATACTGGCTTTTTTATTAATTTTCGCAAGCGGAAGTTCAAAATCACTGTTTATAAGTCTAATTAGAAAAAAAGACTTCAACATACAATTATACTCTTGTTAAATTACTTAAGGCTCAAGAAAGAACTGTCGGCAACCAGAGCGCAAATCAATTTCTTCGTTGTATAATATTTTTCCGGAGGAGAGACTCTTGATTCAAGTGACAAACTCGATCGGCACAACATGCAGCGAAATACTGCAGAAGTACTTGTTTTCCTTATTTGGGTGGTGGCCGCGTTCATAACGAAAACTGCTGAAAGCTGTGAGTAATTCGTTTAAAGCTAAAAACCAGCTGAATTTGTCTATGAGACTATGATGAATATTTATTTATTTACTGACATTCGCGGATTAGTTTAGGTTTTAATTTTCGAGGACTTCTCGAGTAAAGCGAATTCTTATCGAATCAAAGTGATTATCTCAATTGTATAGAAACTTCAAGAGAATCGAGTTGATCGTTGTGGTTTTGTAAATGACTGATGCCGTGTCAAACTGTACCACGAAGGGAGTCGTTCGTATACCGTGCCTTGGAAAGACAAACACGTCAAATTGTCAAAAAGAATCGTCACGTCAAAAGTCTCTTTACGAAGGTCATTCCTTTCATTCGATTACAGTTAGTTTTAACTTGAGAAATCTTTATGGAAAATTAAAACACTCTACCTTTTTTTCGAGCTTCACCCATACTACATACGTTTTCAAACTTTTAAAAAGCATATTCTCCTCCTTTTTCCCCTCATTTTTTCTTACATCAATTTTACATTCTCTTGGCGTTAAGAGTTACTTACTTATTATGTATTGTTATTCTTAGCTGCCTCCTGTCCCAGGGTTGAGAAAATTGGATGCTTCATTGATACCCTCATACCCAGGCCTCTACCCGAGCTGCTGCTGACTGACCGCGATCCCACTGATCCAGTGTACAGCGGTAACACAATTAATTGGTATAATTTCATGGATTATCTAAAAGGGTAAGAATTAACACTTAATTCAAATCATTCTGAACTTAATGTAAATTTTGAACTTTCAACAAATGCCAGAGCCCGACATACTTACTGCGCATGCTCGACAAAATTCCAAAGAGCATGCACTGTAAAGGAAATGACAGAGCTGTATGACGTGCGCATGTCTTTTGTCTTAGTTTGGTATGCCGCTGTGCAGAACGGACAAAGGAGCGAGGATTCACTCACTTTGGTCTTCAGTTCTACGGCGAGTGCTGGAGCGGGCCTGATGCAGAATCGCGCTTTGCTATGCATGGTCCATCTAAACAATGTCTGATGGGGCTGAGTATTCCGCCGGCATACTGCAACAGAACGGACACCAAGGCCTGTGTGGGAGGACCTCACCTTAATTACGTATACAAGATCGAAGAAGGCAAGTAAAAATAACTACAGCAGTGTTTTTATTGCCAGAAAAATTCACAGTACAGGGGTGACGTACCATGACACGGTGTCGTGACCAAGCAAACTGTGAGTAGATAAGATGTGATTTTGCTCGCTGTGATTGGTTCTTTTCCTTCCTGTGCCAGTGCCACGTGCTAGCGGTGACGTTTCAAAGTCATACAAATTTGATATTATCATTTTTGCCAGATCGGCCTAAAGACCCTATTGATGGCAAGTGGTCACCATGGGGACCGTGGACTTCATGCAGCACTACCTGTGGGCCTGGGACTAGATCACGTATTCGAGAGTGTACCAATCCTCCTCCTGAGAATGGCGGGAAAACCTGCGCGGGGAATGAAACCCAGCATGGAGACTGTAACGTTGGAAAATGTAAAAAATGACATCAATTTTCTTAAACATTGTATATATTTTTTGATTTTTGGATCTTTGTTTGTTTCTCCTCAAAGGTCCCACTCCATGTCACCGTGACCTTGACCTTGGCCTGGTGCTTGACTCTTCGAGTAGTGTCGGCGTAGAAAGATACCAGACAGCCAAGGAATTCCTAGTTAACTTGGTGACCAACGCCCAGGGCTCGTTCAAAGGAACAAGAATAGGAATCATAGTCTACAACCAAGAGCCTCAGTTACAGCTTACTTTTAATCAGGTTTGTGGAGTGGTTTATGTGTTTTGGGCTTCCTGTGGAGCTGGGTGATGGTCTGGTTGACTAGACATAAATCTATTATTGTTGTTTTGCAGACTGCAGCGCTCTCGCTGGGTGAGATCATGAATGTCATCAGGGCTATTCCCTATCTTCACGGAGGGACACGAACTGACAAGGCACTACTCAAAGCTGCTACGGACCTTTACACAAAGAAGGGAGGAGACAGAGAGTCAGTGGCTAATGTTCTTCTTGTCGTTACGGACGGACGGACCAACCACCTTAGTGAACCTTATGGAGATGCGCTAAAACCACTCAAAGTAAATGTAGATAAAACGAGATTCATCACATGGTGTGGGGGGAGGGGGAGGGGGAAATGGACTAAGTTGAATCACGACTAAGCAATTTAGAAATTGGGAGAGCCTACGTAGAAAGCAGTTAATATATAATGTGTTTATAAAAATACAATGAATCACACCTTGTAAAATAGATAAAACAATGATAGAATATACCAAATTCAAAACTCGCACCGATGTGAGGCTTAAGTTGTGAACAAAGGGATCTGGCGTGACTCAAAGTAATTTGGCGTGATTCAAAAGTCACAGGGCGATTTTTGAATTTGGTCTATGAAATAGATCTTCTGAACAAATCACATCAACTGAGCGCTATGTAGGTTCTCCCATCGTAAGTTAACTTGCTTTACTTTGGTTTTACGGAGGGAGGAAACCATCCAGACAACCATTTTGCTTGTTATTCGACAACATAACACTCTTTAAATGCACTCTCGACCCTATAGCCCTGTCACTCTTACTGCGCATACTCGACGGAATGGCATACGCATGCGCAGTAAGAACTCTGAGGTTGAGAGTGGTTGTACTTACAAAGACACTGAGAATCATTTCTATGGGTGATGCTTTTCAGGAACGCAAGGTCCACGTCATCGTAGTGGGCATCGGTGAGGGCGTCAAAAAGTCAGAGTTACTACAAATAGCCATGGGAAACCATAACCACGTGGTTACTCTAGCAGACTACCAGGATTTACAGGCCAAGCTAAGCGACATCGTAGATGAAGTGTGTAGCGCGGGAAATGGCGTCAACCGAATGATTTGAACTATGTATAGTCACGTGAGTTAGATATAACACAGGAATCCCATGTATTCTTTGATTTATTCTTGTTGTATTAAAAGTTAAGCCTAAACTTTGCATGTATTCCAGTAATATGTGTTTCAGTGTACGAATTGTATTAGAAATCATGCACTCTCAACCCGTCTTTCATCTCCAAAGTCATCTGATTACTGCGCATGCTCCACTATCGACGAAATGTCTTGGGACGACGTTTTGTCAACGTATAGTACTTGAACTTTGCTAAACCTCATGCGCATGCTCGAAAAAAGCAGTAAATAAAGTTAAATTTATTCCTTTGTGCTGACTATAAGAAAAGCAGGCGTCAGTGATAGGTTGATCTAAGACGAAAGTACAAATCGTGCTTGCATGTTTTTGGTTTTGGTCTTCGGCTGCTGATTCTAAAAAAGGTTTTACTAATCTATTATTATAAAAACACAGTTAGACGACTAAGTTTATCTTATTTTTTGTCTTATTCTAATCTTATAAACACTCCTTTCTACCACCCTTTTTCTCTTTTACTCCGACGAAGGACTAGCGTCCGAAACGTCAGTACGTTTTTTCATCTTTTCACGGTGTATATTTTACGTTTTTATCATTTAAGTTTAGAATGATGTTGGAGCCGGATTTTGAATATTATTAAAAGACTTTCTGCAATTTCCTAATGAAACCCGGAACGTGCCATGCAGCAAACAATTACTACAAGCCACCTTAACTGCGCCTGCTTACTTCAGACAAAGTTTACATATAGTTTTACTTCTGGGAAGACTGGTTATCACTTTATTGACTGCGTAATTTAGGACCATACTTCCAGACATCGAGTGCTGAACCGTCGTATGGCAGCGCGAAGCATTTACGGCTACGCCGGAGATTTCGGCCCCGACACCGCTATCCCTGGATTTACAGACTGATCAGGAAGCTCGGCCGAAGCCTAAGGGAGAGGTTAGTCGGCCCCTAGACCGTAGATGATTAACCCCTTGCTATGACCAGCAGACCCGATATGTGGCATGTGTCGCTGATGGTTTAACTCCATAGTCATTCCTTTACATGTGGGATGCGTCTTAGGAAACTAGCCGTGACATAATTCACACACAAATTTCTTGAAGTAAACACTATTAGTATTAGTATGATATTAGTATATTCGCTGTACAGGTGAATATAACGTGCATGCGCACACTCGATTGTCGAAGGCACTCGTCTCTATAAAGATTCCCCGATATTCACTTGTTAATATTGTTAGATAAATATTCAATAATAGATGGCAAAAAAATTAAATGCAAGGTCAAGCAAAAGACTTATCTAACTCGATTATCTAAATTGTATGGTCGAAAGAAAAGTTATCCTAAAAAAGTTAAAAAGAGAGAAAGCAAGATTTTGTTTTGCAACGGATTTGTATATCATTAGCATATCCCCTGTCACTTAATATGAGGACATAAACTGAATTCCCCTTCGATCGAAATGGTTTCGAACCTACAGGTTTTTTTCCGGATGCGCACGTCCCAGCTTTCTGACCTCAAGAACAGAAGACAAAACCATTGTAATGCAAGCCAAAACTAAAACAGCTCTGTTAAAAATCTCTTTAACCAATAAACTGATTAAAAAGGATCGAGGGTCTATGATGCAGTCCAGTTGAAGGGAAAATTATACAGACGTAAAACACCGCACTGTAAATACAAGCATTTATAAGGTAAGTCAAAGCTGGAGAGTTAATTCAATTAGCAAATATTTATAAAACGTCAGTTCTGTGGACAACTCTGTCTTAACTTTAGGTCTCCAGCGATTGAGAGAAAAGTAATAAATACTCGAAGCATCATAATCATAATCTTTACTAAGGAAGATAGCAAAAGTATAAATACGAACAAGGCTTGTAATTGAGTTATAAACTTATCTATACTTCACATCGGCTCGCTGCGTGTGATTGCGGTGCTTGTGTAAAAGTGAAAGTATGTACTCTTTTTTCTTTATGATTTATAAACCTTCATATCTATACACACTCTCTGGTGATTTTTATAATCCCCCACGCACTAACAACAACACAATTGCAGTTTTTTTGTGTGTGTGTTGTTGTGAGTGCGTGGGGGATTATAAAAATCACCAGAGAGTGTGTATAGATATGAAGATAAGCAAGTCCTTCAATGTCTCGATTGAAAAATTATCAAGAAAAGATTTATAAACCGAAAATGCCTTTCTTTGGCCGTCAGATTTTACAGTTTTAATCATGAATTCAGTTTATAAAACTAAAACAACCACCCTTTCCTGCTCCGTGTATTGTTTTCATACTAGCCTTGAGTAATAGTGAACATGAAAGAAATGTGAAAGGGAAACTTATGAGTAGTTAGTTTTTGATTGTCTCCGAAAACTCTAGTTCTTTTGGGAATTCAAGTGTGAAATATTGCCAGAAATAGACTGACGGCTGCTGAAATAGAAAGATTTCCCCTTTTACAAGTGAAACTCTCGATAAGCCGTACTACCCCGCTTCGTTTTTATGGCACACACTAAAATCTTATTCATTCACTAAAATCTTATAAATTAGATTCAAATTAATTTGATACTGAGCCGCGAAGTTCGTTGCCGATATTTGATCAGGGACGGCGGAGCAGTTTTTTGATTGGGGGGGGGGG